TAAAGCATAAAATGACTATTTCAACAAAAGTTGTTGTTGTTGTTTATTCGTTCAGTCACTTCTGACTCTTCGTGACCTCATGAACCAGCCAATGCCAGAGCTCCCTGTCGCCACCCCAAGCTCCTTCAAGGTCAATCCAGTCACTTCAAGATTGCCATCCGTCCATCTCGCCCTTGGTCGGCCCCTCTTCCTTTTTCCGTCCATTTCCCCCAGCATCATTCTCTTCTCCAAGCTTTCCTTTCCTCTCATGATGTGGCCAAAGGACTTCATCTTTGCCTCTACTATCCTTCCATCTAATGAGCAGTTGGGCTTCATTTCCTGAAGTATGGACTAGTTGGATCTTCTGGTGGTACAAGGCACTCTCCGGATTTTGCTTCCATCCAATGAGCAGTTGGGCTTCATTTCCTGAAGTATGGACTGGTTGGATCTTCTGGTGGTACAAGGCACTCTCCGGATTTTGCTCCAACACCACAATTCAAAAGCATCTCCCTTCCTTCACTCAGCTTTCCCAATGGTCCATTTCTCACATCTGTAGGTTACTACGGGGAATACAATTGCTTTAACTATGCAATGGATCTTTGTTACCAATGTGATGTCTCTACTCTTCACTATTTTATCAAGATGGTCCCAAAAAGTAAACATCTCCTTATTTCCTGGCTGTAGTCTGCGTTTGCAGTAATCTTTGCACCTAGAAATACAAAGTCTGTCATGGCCTCCACTTTGATGGCCGAAAGCGAGGAGGAGCTGAGAAGCCTTCTAATCAAGGTGAAAGAGAAAGCGCAAAAGCCGGGTTGCAGCTAAACATAAAAAAAAAAAAGATTATGGCAAAAAGAATGATTAACAACTGGGAAATAGAGTTGACGGCCACTGGGGGCGTGGCCTTCAGGAAGAGCTGGGCGTGACCACTCCCACCTCGCCCTTCCGCATCGCGGCTTGTCACCAGGGGAACTGCGAGATAATGTAAACCTTGACCAGACGTACGAAAATAATTCCGAAAAATGGGTAAATTGTTTCAATTCGTTATTACTTCTCACACTATTCCAGCATGGCTCGAAATTGTTTTATAAGTCATTTAAATACGAATTCATTCCGATTTTTGAAGCTAATGAACCTGATCAATCAAGCCTAGTAAATCGCCCATATATTTTCACTCGGATTGTATAACTTCCATGTCTATCCGCTTCGTAGAAGTAACGGTTTGCGCCGTTTTAAAAATTGAGCTTTTATTGATGCGTTTTTTCCTCCCCTCGTGAATAGACTCGAGAAAATGGCAAGGAGAGGAGATAATTATTAGGGACAATTATGCTGACCAGCACTGAGCACTTCTGTTTAACAAACAGCGTTGAGTTCTAATTTTCTGCAGTGCACAGTTTGTAGGTACCATTTGTACTCATTACTGTATATTGAGAAAGTTATTAAAAATACTTAAACTTGTTGAAGCTTCCTGTGACACCTTCCCTGGCTTTAATTGGGTTTTATCGAGTCCTGGGAAGAAAAAAAAAAGCTCTTTTAAACCTAATCAGAGTCCCTTAGATCACCCCAAGATGAAGACGGTTGGCTCAAATCAAGCACCTTTTTTTCCCCCGAAACACGAATATTTTTGAATGATCTGCATGACAAATGAGGGAGGTAATTTATGCCTCTTTTGGATGGGTACCGTTTCCAAATGACGGAGGAACAATTGCTTTGTAACATAAGGGTTAAATCTTAATCTCAGAGGTTTGCAAAGCTGGTAGACGCAGTCTCCTTAAAATTTAATATACCTCGTTAATGCTTACTTGCAAACACTGAAGGATTTTTATGATTATAATCATGTGTTACAGCACCTAGTACTGTTTCTAAGCCGCATACTAATCAGCTTAATGAGATATTACTGCACTTTTTGTTGACTAAAGCAAAATCCTTTTTATTGTTCGAAAGCTTGTCCTTTACTTTATCCAACACCCCCCCCTCCAACATTATCTTGTTTTATTGTGTACTAGTAAATATCATGCCATCTCTGCCCCCCCCCAATCCGCCCACCCCCGCATCAAATCATAAAACCATCTTTCTCATTGTGGAAAGTGGAATTTATTGAATATGTTTAATGGGACTGAAAGTTTTATAAATGGATTTCTATTTTTGTTTTTTTTAAAGGGGAAATGAGCACGATGCATCACATTTCTCTTTTATATAGATAGCAAAATGTAAACAGGTGCAGTTTCATAGGGAAAAAGGGGGAAACCGAACCCAGTTGAAAGCTTAACGCGACGTATTTAAGAGCCAGATATTCAAATTGGTAATGTGTTCATTTTTAAATCCTAATTAATACATGCAATCAAACAGTATTCAGGATGATGAAGGCCCCGTATAATTAAGAGAAAACATAATCACAACTGTATACTATACACTTGACATTTAATATACATTTTATTGGTTGTGACTCTGGTATTGTCACGTGTAATTTAAACATTGGATGGGTTGTTGTAGGTTTTTCGGGTTCTAGAAGCATTCTCTCCTGACATTTCACCTGCATCTATGGCAAGCATCCTCAGAGGTTGTGAGGACAATATGGCCATGTTCTAGAAGTATTATCTCTTGACGTTTTGCCTGCATCTATGGCAAGCATCCTCAGAGGTTGTGAGGTCCTATATGGCCATGTTCTAGAAGCATTCTCTCCTGACGTTTCGCCTGCATCTATGGCAAGCATCCTGAGAGGTTGAGAGGACAATATGGCCATGCTCTAGAAGCATTCTGTCCTGACATTTCGCCTGAATCTATGTCAAGCATCCTTAGAGGTTTTGAGGACAATATGGCCATGTTCTAGAAGGATTATCTCCTGACGTTTCGCCTGCATCTATGGCAAGCATCTTCAGAGGTTGTGAGGACAATATGGCAATGTTCTAGAAGCATTCTCTCCTGATGTTTCGCCTACATCTATGGCAAGCATCCTCAGAGGTTGTGAGGACAATATGGCCATGCTCTAGAAGCATTCTGTCCTGACGTTTCGCCTGAATCTATGCCAAGCATCCTTAGAGGTTTTGAGAACAATATGGCCATGTTCTAGAACAGTGGTTCTCAACCTGGGGTCCCCAGATGTTTTTGGCCTACAACTCCCAGAAATCCTAACAGCTGGTAAACTAGCTGGGATTTCTGGGAGTTGTAGGCCAAAAACATCTGGGGACCCCAGGTTGAGAACCACTGCTCTAGAAGGATTATCTCCTGATGTTTCACCTGCATCTATGGCAAGCATCCTCAGAGGTTGTGAGGACTATATGGCCATGTTCTAGAAGCATTATCTCCTGATGTTTCGCCTGATTTATGGCAAGCATCCTCAGAGGTTGTGAGGACAATATGGCCATGCTCTAGAAGCATTATCTCCTGACGTTTCGCCTGCATCTATGGCAAGCATTCTCAGAGGTTGTGAGGACAATATGGCCATGTTCTAGAAGCATTATCTCCTGATGTTTTGCCTGCATCTATGGCAATTATCCTCAGAGGTTGTGAGGACAATATGGCCATGTTCTAGAAGCATTCTCTTCTGAGGTTTTACCTGCATCTATGGCAAGCATCCTCAGAGGTTGTGAGGACAATATGGCCATGCTCAAGAAGCATTATCTCCTGACGTTTTGCCTGCATCTATGGCAAGCATCTTCAGAGGTTGAGAGGACAATATGGCGATGTTCTAGAAGCATTCTCTCCTGATGTTTCACCTACATCTATGGCAAGCATCCTCAGAGGTTGTGAGGACAATATGGCCATGTTCTAGAAGCATTCTCTCCTGACGTTTCGCCTTCATCTATGGAAAACATCCTCAGAGGTTGTGAGGACAATATGGCCATGTTCTAGAAGCATTCTCTCCTGAGGTTTTACCTGCATCTATGGCAAGCATCCTCAGAGGTTGTGATGACAATATGGCCATGCTCAAGAAGCATTCTCTCCTGAAGTTTCGCCTGCGTCTGTGCAGGTACAGCTGTACCAGGAGCTCCAATTTTGTTTGCTTTGCATTGCATGTTTGTTGTAGTCCTAAGTTTTAGGGACGCTGCAGATAGGTGGCTTCTTTTGGCTGCAATCATAGGGCAAGCCACCTGTCAATTATCGTTAGGTTCCCTGGTCCTGCCCCCTTTTTGGGTTTTGGAGGGAATAGGAGCCATTTTGGGTTCGGTCCACACAGATAAGCCTTTCATGCAGGACATAATACCAAGAGCTCCTGTAGAAAGCTTCGTCTTCTACGGCTTGGCCGGAAGATATACAGCCCAGAATTGGACATAATATTCCAGGTGTGGTCTAACCAAAGCAGAATAGAGCATGGGGAGCATGACTTCCCTGGATCTAAAGGTCATGTGGGTTCGTAGACGGAAATATAGTCACGCAGGTAGGCGGGTCCCAATCCGTTCAGGGCTTTGTAGGTCAAAACCTGCACCTTGAATTGGGCCGGGATTGTGGCGCAGCTGGCTGAGTGTCAGCTGCATTAAGATCACTCTGACCAAAAGGTCATGAGTTCAAGGCCAGCCCGGGTTGGAGTGGGTTTCCAACCAGTTGTGTAGCCCGTTGTCAACCTTTGCAACCCGAAGGACAGTTGCATCTGTCAAGTAGGAAAATAAGGTACCACCTTGAAGTGTGGGGAGGCTAAATTAACTAGTTTATGAGGCCATAAAAAAGACTTCAGCAAAAGCATGCGGGGAATGCGGAAGTACTTCATCAGTGTCACAGATGGACGATGAAAGCGACAGCTCCACTAGCGGCCAGAAAAAGTTAAATAGCCTCTGTGTATGTCTGTATATATTGTATGTCAAAATTGGCATTGAATGTTTGCCATATATGTGTACACTGAGTCCCCTGCGGGGTGAGAAGAGCGGAATATAAATGCTGTAAATAATAATAAATAAATAAATGGCAGCCATTGGAGCTCCTTAAACAGGAGTAATTTTTGGGACTCTAACATGGAATGTTTCTGAAATGTCTGCTGATAGGACTGGACTCACCCCAACTCTAAAATCCTTCTTCATTTTTTTTTTCAGGGATGGAGGAAGCGAGTTTGTGCCTTGGTGTTTCTTCAGCGGTGCCGGAAGCGGATGTCCACCTCAACAGCTCCATACTGAATGGCCAGTACTCAATGAGCCAGAAGTTACACCAGATCACGTCCCAGCTCAGCCATGCGTTTCCTGAATTGCAGAACAGGCAGAACCCGGAGGAGAAGGCATCCGCACTCTTAGAAGACAAGAGCCACGCGTCCATAGCAAACCAGCCCATCAGCAGTCAGATGGCTCTGCTCGCCAATCAACTGAACAGAGAGGTTGACACCACGTTGAATGGGAGAGTAGACCTGCAGCAGTTCCTAAATGGACAGAACCTTGGCATCATGTCCCAGATGAGTGATATAGAGGATGACGCCAGGAAGAACAGAAAATACCCGTGTCCCTTGTGCGGGAAACGTTTCCGCTTCAACAGCATCCTCTCGCTCCACATGCGCACCCATACAGGAGAGAAACCGTTCAAGTGCCCCTACTGCGACCACAGAGCTGCTCAGAAGGGAAACTTGAAGATCCACCTGCGCACTCACAAACTGGGCAACCTTGGCAAAGGACGCGGGAGGGTCCGAGAAGAAAACAGGCTCTTGCACGAGCTGGAAGAGAGGGCCATCCTGAGGGACAAACAGATGAAAAGCAGCCTTTTGCAGCCACGATCCGACAACAAATCCCACCCGCATTCCCAACCGATGCCTCTTGCTAACTGCAATTTGCCTGTGCCCACTAACCACAGCACCCCGGATGTCTCCAACCCCGTTCCCTCTCCGAAACCTGCCAGTGTTCAGGAAGAAGTGGTAGCCACGGCTGCTGGATTTAGGTGCACTTTCTGCAAAGGAAAATTCAAGAAACGGGAAGAGTTAGACAGGCACATTCGGATCCTTCACAAGCCTTACAAGTGTACTTTGTGTGATTTTGCAGCTTCCCAAGAAGAGGAGCTGATCAGTCACGTGGAGAAAGCGCATATAACCGCGGAGTCGGCCCAAGGCCAGGGCTCCAACGGAAACGGAGAGCAGGCCGCCAATGAGTTTCGATGTGAAGTCTGCGGCCAGGTCTTTAGCCAAGCATGGTTCCTGAAAGGCCACATGAGGAAACACAAGGACTCCTTTGAACACTGCTGCCAGATTTGTGGGAGGCGCTTCAAAGAGCCTTGGTTCCTCAAGAACCACATGAAGGTCCATCTCAACAAACTATCCGTGAAAAACAAGTCCGCCAATGACTCCGAAGTCCCTGTGTCCATCGGCAGCATGTCGCAGGAGGCTCACGCCAACCTGTACTCCAGATACCTGTCATGTTTGCAAAGTGGTTTCCTTCCTCCTGACAAAGCCGGACTCGGTGAACAGAACCAGACTTACAGCAAAGGAGATTTGCCCATGAAAGAGAGAGAAGTTCTGGGCAAGCTCCTGTCCCCTATTGCTGGCATTGGCCACGGCCTTGCTGAAGGCGACAAACATTCGTTATTGGGCTGTCTTAACCTCGTGCCTCCTCTCAAATCCAGCTGTATAGAAAGGCTACAAGCTGCAGCCAAAGCTGCCGAGATGGACCCTGTAAACAGTTATCAAGCTTGGCAGCTAATGGCAAGAGGAATGGCCATGGAACATGGTTTTTTGACTAAAGAGCACCAGATCCAGCGAAGCCATGAAGACACTTTGGCAAACGCTGGAGTTATGTTTGATAAGGAGAAGCGGGAGTACGTGCTAGTAGGAGCAGATGGCTCCAAGCAGAAAATGCCTGCTGATTTGGTTCACAGCACTAAAATGGGCAATCAGAGAGACTTGTCAAACAAACTAGACCCTTTGGAAGGCAGCAGAGATTTTCTGTCTCACGGTATGAACCACGGGCAGCTCGATTTTAACATGCAGAGTCACAGCAATGTGAAAGAGAAGCCAACCGAATGCCCTGACTGTGGCAGGGTTTTCAGAACATACCACCAAGTTGTGGTTCACTCAAGAGTCCACAAAAGAGACAGAAAGGCAGAAGACGAGATCATTCAGGCGAGCATCGAAGAGCGACGTGGGTCTGGGAGCGACCAGGAATCTCAATCGGTCAGTAGGTCAACAACCCCAGGGTCCTCCAATATTACCGAGGAGAGTGGGATGGGTGGAGGCCTCTCCCAGACAGGAAGTGCCCAAGAAGACAGCCCACATCCTTCTTCGCCTTCCTCGTCAGGTATGTCAATGTTTTGGTTTTTTCCTCTTTCTTTCCTGTCTGTAATATCTTATAGAATTCTTTTTTTACTCAGAAGTTTCATGGAGTTTAATTAGGCTTGATATTAGGCATGCATGTACAGAATCTCACCCTACATGGCCGTATAATTAACGTAACACCTCACCATTTTCTTTCCTCAAAGGCTTGTAATGGTCATTTTGCAATGCTGGTATTTCAGTCAAGCAAGTATATTACAAATAATAAGAAAAAAATATAATTATATAAAATTATTTATATAATTATAGAAAATTATAAAAAAATTAAAAAAAAATTTCTTATATAATTCTTGAAAGCTTTTCCTGATCAGCCAAGAGAACTTTTCTTTTCGATTTCACAATGTGCAACATGGTAATTGCTATGGTAACCCAGATTTTATTTTTTTAATTGTTATTATTGTGTATACATGTATCATATGCTCCCATTGAAAATTTGTTGAAGCAGCTACTTTTCTTTTTTTATTCTTTTAGTTTTGATCTTCACACTCAAATTTGCTTATATATGGGCAAACTTTGGCCCACCAAGTGTCTTGGACTCCAGCTCCCACAATTGCTAACAGCTGGCAGGCTGGGTTGTTGTAGGTTTTTCGGGCTATATGGCCATGTTCTAGAAGCATTCTCTCCTGACATTTCGCCTGCATCTATGGCAAGCATCCTCAGAGTTGTGAGGTCTGTTGGAACTCTGAGGATGCCTGCCATAGGTGCAGGTGAAACATCAGGAGAGAATGCTTCTAGAACATGGCCATATAGCCTGAAAAACCTACAACAACCCAGTGATTCTGGCCATGAAAGCCTTTGACAATACAGCTGGTAGGCTGTTAGGAATTGTGGGAGTTGAAGTCCAAAACACCTGGACGGCTGTAGTTTGCCCATGCCTGTTGTAGACTCGTGTTTCTAAGTAAAGGGGTGGTATCAGCTCAGTATGAGCTAGAACAGGTTAAAATAGAGTTTGTAATAGTTTGTGACCATATTCTTAAATTTAGTAAGATTCATAATGTGAGTTTCTACTCCTAAAAAAGAATGCAATGGTACTGGATGCATGCAGAAATATTTGTTTGTTTGTAATCATTGATAAGATGGCTTCAATTTGCTTGGTCACTTCATTTAACCTTCCTTGCAACTAAGCCATGCTTCCTTTTGGCAATCCGTTTTCCTATTTATATTGCTATTTGTGTATAAGTATTTAATAGGCTTTTTTGATGAAAAAAAATGGTTCAAAACTTGTTTCGGATGTAGAGTGTGCTTGTGGTTCGATTCTAAAGTCAATTCCGATTTTCAAAGAAAAAAATGTTTAAAACTTTTCAAAACTTCTGAGACTTCCGAATCTTATGGCTTGAAAGGGTTCTGTTTCATTGGGTTGTCTTTACTTTGAAAGTAGTTGTTTTACTCCACGAGTGGGTAAAAGCAAGCAGAGAAAATTCCTTCCTTCTCCGGTTTAAATCTGGCTTCTCTGGCTTGAGTCAGAAGTGGGGAAAGCAAAGGGAGGAAATTCAGCCTTCCCTGGTTTAAAGCTGGCTTCTCTGGCTTAAGTCGGAAGTGGGGAAAGCAAAGGGGGGAAATTCAGCCTTCCCTGGTTTAGAACTGGATTCTCTGGCTTGAGGCAGAAGTGGGGAAAGCAAAGGGAGGAAATTCAGCCTTCCCTGGTTTAAAACTGGCTTCTCTGGCTTGAGGCAGAAGCGGGGAAAGCAAAGGGAGGAAATTCAGCCTTCCCTGGTTTAAAACTGGCTTCTCTGGCTTGAGGCAGAAGCGGGGAAAGCAAAGGGAGGAAATTCAGCCTTCCCTGGTTTAAAACTGGCTTCTCTGGCTTGAGGCAGAATCGGGGAAAGCAAAGGGAGGAAATTCAGCCTTCCCTGGTTTAAAACTGGCTTCTCTGGCTTGAGGCAGAAGCGGGGAAAGCAAAGGGAGGAAATTCAGCCTTCCCTGGTTTAAAACTGGCTTCTCTGGCTTGAGGCAGAAGTGGGGAAAGCAAAGGGAGGAAATTCAGCCTTTCCTGGTTTAAAACTGGCTTCTCTGGCTTGAGGCAGAAGTGGGGAAAGCAAAGGGAGGAAATTCCTTCCTTCTCTGGTTTAAAACTGGCTTCTCTGGCTTGAGGCAGAAGTGGGGAAAGCAAAGGGAGGAAATTCAGCCTTTCCTGGTTTAAAACTGGCTTCTCTGGCTTGAGGCAGAAGTGGGGAAAGCAAAGGGAGGAAATTCACCTTCCTGGTTTAAAACTGGCTTCTCTGGCTTGAGGCAGAAGTGGGGAAAGCAAAGGGAGGAAATTCAGCCTTCCCCGGTTTAAAACTGGCTTCTCTGGCTTGAGGCAGAAGCGGGGAAAGCAAAGGGAGGAAATTCAGCCTTCCCCGGTTTAAAACTGGCTTCTCTGGCTTGAGGCAGAAGTGGGGAAAGCAAAGGGAGGAAATTCAGCCTTTCCTGGTTTAAAACTGGCTTCTCTGGCTTGAGGCAGAAGTGGGGAAAGCAAAGGGAGGAAATTCCTTCCTTCTCTGGTTTAAAACTGGCTTCTCTGGCTTGAGGCAGAAGCGGGGAAAGCAAAGGGAGGATTCAGCCTTTCCCGGTTTAAAACTGGCTTCTCTGGCTTGAGCCAAGGCCAGGGAGAATAATTTCCGACTCACTTCCTAAGTCGGGAAAAAAATGGCAAGACTAGCTTCGGAAAGGCAAAGGGATTTCCGGTTTCCTAAAAAAGTTCCAAATCGCTTCAAAAAGGTATTTTTTTCCGAATTTATTCAGAATTACGAAGATTCCGACTGGATCTAACCATGGCTAGTATTCAAGGCAATAAATCAGCACTAGATCTGGGAGTTCTGGAGCAATGTGAAAATGTGCATGTCTCATTCATGCTCCCATAGATTGCACATTATTAAAAAAATGATTCCTTTGTATTGTCGAAGGCTTTCATGGCCAGAATCACTGGGTTGCTGTGAGTTTTCCGAGCTGTATGGCTATGTTCCAGAAGCATTCTCTCCTGACGTTTTGCCCACATCTATGGCAGGCATCCTCTGAGGATGCCTGCCATAGATGTGGGTGAAACATCAGGAGAGAATGCTTCTGGAACATGGCTATATAGTCCGGAAAACTCACAGCAACCCAGTGATTCTGGCCATGAAAGAACTAGATCTGGGAGTTCGAGGGCAATGTGAAAATGTGCATGTCCCATTCATGCTCCCATAGATTGCACATTATTTAAAAAATGATCTTTATGTTGTCGAAGGCTTTCATGGCCAGAATCACTGGGTTGCTGTGAGTTTTCTAGGCTGTATGGTGATGTTCCAGAAGCATTCTCTCCTGACATTTTGCCCACATCTATGGCAGGCATCCTCAGAGTTTGTGAGGTCTATTGGAAATTAGGCAAGTGAGATTTATATATCTATTTAGCCTTGAAAACTCACAGCAACCCAGTGATTCTGGCCATGAAAGAACTAGATCTGGGAGTGAAAATGTGCATGTCCCATTCATGCTCCTATAGATTGCACATTATTAAAAAAACAATTCCTTTGTATTGCTGAAGGCTTTCATGGCCAGAATCACTGGGTTGCTGTGAGTTTTCCGAGCTGTATGGCTGTGTTCCAGAAGCATTCTCTCCTGACGTTTTGCCCACATCTATGGCAGGCATCCTCTGAGGTTGTGAGGTCTGTGGGCAAAACGTCAGGAGAGAATGCTTTTGGAAGATGGTTCTATAGCCCGGAAAACTCACAGTAACCCAGATTCCTTTGTATTTAATTGTAACCTACTGTGTGCAAAAGAAGAAAGCAAACTAATATTTCATTGGAGCTATCTATTGAGTTTTCTTGGCGCATTACAAAAAAAAAGGAAGGTAAGATTTCTGGCCTCATCTCTCATTTCTAGGCTCTTGAACTAATGGATAGTAAATTGAAAGTTATATCTTCAGCCCCTTTATAAGAAAAGCACCTTCTAATATTGTAATCATTCTGCAGGCCTAACAACAGAGGAAATCATGCCATAACAAATACTCTGTTACTAATGGCAACATTGATTTCTGCAATCAGCCATTAAGTCTCGAAAATGAAAGACAGTTTGAGAGACCTTAAGGCATTACGTTGCCCACTGTTAAAGATCTGGTAGCAGGCTGTTGGAGGTAATTCTTTTTTAGGCTCAAACCCCCCCTCTCTCCCTTCGTTTCAATAAATATTTTAGTATCGAAGGCAATCCACTGTTATAGTTATTAAATAGATGCCAGTTTATTTGTGTTGTTCTTGTCATGCTCCACTCTCCTCCATTTCTAAGACCAGATTAATATAAAAGAAAGTGTGAGTTTGGGGGCAGCTGATTATAAACCAGTAAAGAAACTCTTAAGACACATAAATCTGCCCTCTGCATTCCTCAGATTCCTATAGTGCTTAATGCTGTTGTTTAAATACCCATGAAACGCCCCGACTACTCTTAGAACTGTAGCCTCATTTACGATTTATTAGCGGAGGAGCACGTTTGGAAACAGTGTGGGAACCAAAGAAGCAAGGGAGAGCTCCTTTTTATACTGTGTCGTTGTTTGGGTTGTTTTAAGAGGATTGAAGACCCAATATGACAACGTGGAGATTTCGTTTCCCACTTGTCAGCATTCTCAACCTGGAGAAATGCTTTGTTTTTCAACTCTAAGCGCCGATTCCCCAACGGTTGGCCTCCATGTTTGCAGAATGTGCTTTGACATAAGCAATGGGGACGGGGGAAGAATGCATTTTTTGCAATTGTAAATGATACTAGCCAGTGATTCTGGCCATGAAATAACTAGATCTGGGAGTGAAAATGTGCATGTCCCATTCATGCTCCTATAGATTGCACATTATTAAAAAAACAATTCCTTTGTATTGTTGAAGGCTTTCATGGCCAGAATCACTGGGTTGCTGTGAGTTTTCCGAGCTGTATGGCTGTGTTCCAGAAGCATTCTCTCCTGACGTTTTGCCCACATCTATGGCAGGCATCCTCTTGAGGATGCCTGCCATAGATGTGGGCAAA